GCGAGGGGCGCGCTCGCACGCATCCTGGCTGCCCCAAAGGTGTTCGAAGTGCCCCATCCTCTACAAATGCATGCTTTACCGGTCTGATTTCGCCGTGGTTTAATTTTCTAGCAGCATGAGCACTTCAAACGCGTGTTAGCAAACTTCCGGGCCTTGGTTAAACAAAATTTGGACGGTTCTCGTATAAATGTATTTCTATCCACACATTTGAATGACCTTCCACCGTCTCTATTGATACGAGAAATGCACAAACTAGATCAACTGTCATTCTGTGTTGCTTCCTCGTATGTACTCTGCAAACTCAATTGTGTGCCAGGCACGCACTTCTTGGAGCATGCCTGCAGGCACACTTTTGCCGTAGCTAATGCATGCACAAATGCAAGTGTGTGCCTGAGGCATGCACACAAGCAAGTGTGTGCCTGAGGCATGCACACAAGCAAGTGTGTGCCTGAGGCATGCAGCAAAGAAGTGTACCTGCCAGGCAATACACCAAGAAGTGTATGCCTGCCGGGCACCAAGCAGTTGTGCCTGCAAGACATGCAGAAAAGAAGTGTGTGACTGCCAGGCATGCAGGAAAGAAGTGTGTGCCTACAGGCACGCACCAAGTGCATGCCGCACACAATTGAGTTTGCTGAGTATATACGAGGAAGCAACATAGAGTGTCTGTTAAACTAGTTTGTGCATTTTTTATATCATTAAGGACGGTGGAAGGTCATTCAAATGTGTGGATAGAAATACATATAAAAGGGAACCGTCCAAATTTTGTTTTCACAGGGTTGCCACGCACCTGGAAAACAGGGAAAACCTGTAATTGTCAGAGAAAATGAAGCTATGTCAGAAAGAGCCGGGAAAACCTGGAAATGTCAGGGACATTCGTGGAAAACAGGACAAAATACCTACTTTCTGGCCAAAAAGACATAACATGCGCCGGATGGGATATCCTTTCCACGCGCGAAAACTCCCTTCACCGGAAAAACGTTATACTTGAATTTAAGTTTAAGTTATGCTAAACCCTAAAATATCACATCTTTACTTGTTTGAAGTATGATACGGTAAGACTAAAAATAAATTATGGTTATTCCAAAAATATGTATGCTTGACGGAAGCATAGCGATTCTGCCCATACTCCAATATAGTATAAATTATACTTAGACTTGCTATGCCTGAAACAAGCAAGTTATGCTCGCGTGAAGTCTACTATACTTGAAACTAGCATAAAGGTATGCTTGAGTGCTGCACCGAGTGACCGCCTCCCCCCACCCCTAAGAGATGGGTGGTGGGGGAGGCGGCAGGACAGACGCAGCGACGCACACCCGCATCAGCACATGTTTCGTCCCCGACGATCGTTCGTCATCGCGCGCAGGTAGCGCAACTGGCAAGGCGACGGCACCCTGTGCGGGTGGCCCGGGTTCAAGTCCCGGTCAAGCCCGACGAATTTCGGTCGGGGATGTAGCCATGTGACAAGGCACACAGTTCGACTACCATGAGGGGTCGAAATAGGGAGTGGGGAAAGGCATTGTAGGCTAGGAGACGCACGTGAGTGTAAGCTGCAAAAATTTTTAAATATCTCGTGGAAACAAGTATAGAAATACTCAAAACAAGAATAGTATAAAATAAGGATATTTTATACTAGCTTTGAGTATAATATTCTTGGCGCTATTGTAAGGATATTTTATACTAGAATCAATTGTAAAAGTGTTGATTCAAGTCTAACGTTTTTTCGGTGTTCAAAAATTAGCCAAAATGTCAGGGAAAATGGCAAAAGATGTCTCTGAAAAACCTGGAAATGTCAGGTAAATCCGAAATTCCGGAAGCGCGGCAACCCTGTTTCACTAAGCCTCTATTGTGACATTACCAAGGCCCGGAAGTTTGTTAACACGCGTTTGAAGTGCTCATGCTGCTAGAAAATTAAATCACGGCGAAATCAGACCGGTAAAGCATGCATTTGTAGAGGATGGGGCACTTCGAACACCATTGGGGCAGCCAGGATGCGTGCGAGCGCGCCCCTCGCAGTAGTAATTTGCTTCAATAAATTAAATGCGCGCATAACAACCGCTTGGCACCCAAACCGGGGTGATATCTGCTCGGTAAGGCATGCTTTTGTAGAGGATGGGGCACTTCGAGGACCTTCTAGGAGGCCAGGATGCGAGCGCGCGCACGCCCTGCAGTCGCCAGGTGGGTCCAAGAAACTCGATTCAAGCGTAGGAATCGATTGGCACTCGAACCGGAGTGATATCTGCTCGGTAAAGCATGCTTTTGTAGAGGATGGGGCACTTCGAGGACCTTCTAGGCGGCCAGGATGCGCGCCTATGCACCGCATACTATCGAGATTGGTGTCAAAATGACCGTCTTGAAGAGACGAATCGAATGAGCCCACTACCAAGTTGATCAGACGTCATTTAGCCGTCGTTTGTAGATGATTTAGCACTTCTTGGCCTCGAACAGGATGAAGGAGCCCGATTTCGGCGTGGCACCATATCCAGATCGATAGAGCACCCCCGAAAACATAAAGTAAGACTATTATTTCGTTTTCATCACAAAGTGCAAGGTTGGAGCCCTTACCGTCCCCACTAGAACCGGTCTGCAGCGAGGCACGCGAGCCTGTCACGTCGAGACGGTGTAGGGTACCCGGGTAGCGTACCCACGACGGGTGGCCGGCCGCGGGTCGGGTGCCTCCGGGTGCCTCTCCTCTCCAGGACCCCTGCGAGGCGCCTCCGCCGCCGCCGCCGAGTGCCAAAAGACACGTTTTCCCTTGCAGCGTGTCGGAGAGCCGAAAGGTCCCCGCCGAAGGCTGATCCCGGACAGTGGACGTCGCTCTGTCTGTCTCTCTTGCAGGCGGCGGGTGCAAGAGAGGCAGAGCGCGTCGCGTGGCATTTGCGTCGCCTCGTCGCCCTTTCCCTGCCTGGACCTGGTTAGGTTAGGTTAGGCCGGGCCGTCCGCTTGCCGCGCCGCCAGGACGCTCCACTGCGTTCGCGGAACGAGACGTCACCGCCGAGATGCTCTGCGGGACTTCCCCCGCGGCGCGCAGTGGCTGGCAGTGGCGCGGACGGAGCACGGCATGCGAAGCGCAAGTGGCATAGTGCGGCCGGCGAGGGGACCACTCAATCGGACCGACGGCGCCGCGTTCTGATTCCGAACGATATCTCTATCGGTCCGTCTCTCTCCCACCTACGCGGCACCAGGCCGGCACGCCCCGTGAGCGCGAGGGAGACGAGAGCTCTGCCCGTGTGGAACGAAAGTCTGTAAAGTTGTCGTAGTTTTGTCGTTATTCTCACGATGAATTAACATCAAATACACTTCGTAACTACGACGAAATAACGTCAAACTGAGCGTCAAACGCGTTTGGCGTTAAACAGCAGGTAAATTTGAAGTTTTTTTGTCGTTAAAGTGGTCCGTTTTACGTCAAAAAAACTTCAAAATGACGGTGGCCCATGGAGCTGCGAGCCAAAACAGAAGCCTACTCGCCGAGTATCGAACCGAGACCCTAGCCCACCAACGCGTTGGAGGACAAGTGTCGGAGTTCGAAGCCGCTCGGCCAAAGCGACTTGTGGCGGTCGGAGTGCATCGACGCGAACTGCTTCGCCTCGCGCTTCCCGCTCTCGCATTTTGTCGCAGCAACGTAGAGCACTTGATCTAAGTAACGCTGCCTGGTTCCTGGTTTTCCAAGGAACTCCCTGGAAATCCCTTTACCATACGTTTCATTGGAAACCAGGAACCGTTTTTACCGTGCTGGAATGTGTTATGTAACATCAGCTGATTCAAACCCCAAAAAGCGTTACTTAGATCAAGTGCTCTACGTTGCTGCGACAAAATGCGAGAGCGGGAAGCGCGAGGCGAAGCAGTTCGCGTCGATGCACTCCGACCGCCACAAGTCGCTTTGGCCGAGCGGCTTCGAACTCCGACACTTGTCCTCCAACGCGTTGGTGGGCTAGGGTCTCGGTTCGATACTCGGCGAGTAGGCTTCTGTTTTGGCTCGCAGCTCCATGGGCCACCGTCATTTTGAAGTTTTTTTGACGTAAAACGGACCACTTTAACGACAAAAAAACTTCAAATTTACCTGCTGTTTAACGCCAAACGCGTTTGACGCTCAGTTTGACGTTATTTCGTCGTAGTTACGAAGTGTATTTGATGTTAATTCATCGTGAGAATAACGACAAAACTACGACAACTTTACAGACTTTCGTTCCACACGGGTGACTCGGCCTGTTTCGGCCTTCGGGACGCTCCAGGCAGTCGGCGTGAAGGTGCGATCGGAGGAGACCTGCTTGAAGGATGACCCCTTTCTTGTCCTGGGTCCGGACGGTCCGATCGGTCCGGACTCCGGGCCGAGGCAAAGCCGGCAGAGCACGGCGCGCCATGACGTCACTGGTCGGGCTGATAAGCGAGACGCGGCGGCCTGGCGTTCGCCGGCTGACGTTCGACGGCTTGGCTCGGCGTTCGACGTGTGCCTTGCCCGCCTTGCCGGGCCTTGCCTGCCCGCCGCCGGTCTGGTCGCCTGGTCTTTCGGCGACTCGGGCCCAAAACAAAAACAGCAAGCCAGCGACAACTAGACGGACTAGACGCGGCGGCATTTGATGGCCCCGCCACGCGATGGCGGGTGGCGACGGGCCGCACGTTCGCTGTTCGATCGGGGAAACGTATTTGGCAAGGAGCGTTTCGGCGTTTTGGCGCAGAGCGAGTAAAAGCCGCGTCGACCGTGTGGCAACCGCGGCAACCGCGGCAACGCCAAGGAACGCCGGGGAAAGAAGACGCGGCCTGCAACAAATTACCGACATCGTTGCGGCCAGCCAGGCCCAGCCAGGCTTGGAGAAGGAGGGGGTCTTGTTGGGATTCGCGAAAGAAGGGCCAACACGGCCACCAGTGACGCCGCGCGCGGCGCCCGTGTCAGGTAATTGCTCTATTACTCTCTTCAAGCCACACCGCGCGCTGCAGAAGGGAGTTGGAAAAGAGTGCGAGGGAGAAACGGGTGAGCGAAAAAGCGGGAGGGGCGTCGTACTCACCAGTGTCAGTGGAGAGCTCGTTTCACAGCATGGATCAAATGCCCTGCAACAACAGAATAAGTTTGTCAGTCACGAAAAAAACACGCCAATTTTGTTTTCTTCTTGAAGCTGTCCTTGGCGCATGTTTGATCGCGTTTGTGGCGTTTCGGAACAGGTGGCGGGGCCCTGCCAGGCCCTGCCTTGCCCTGCCGGGCTCTGCCGCTCTGCCTCTAGCGGCTCTAGCCGGCGGGACAGGTGTCCCCACTGTATCCCTTATCAACGCCGGCGTGCTGCGCCAAGCGCCGCGCCGTGCGCCCCGCTTGTTGTTGATCGGACTTTAATTGACAGAGTGCTGGCGTGTGCTGCACACCAGCAAACAATCCTGGGCCGTGTTCTCCGCGCGAGTCGAGCAGTTTCCTCAATGGGCCGCGATCCTCTCCTGCGTGTGCCTCTTTCGGGCCGTGCACGGTCAACCGCGGTTTATGCAAGAGACACACATCGCAGAAAGGTTGCTAAAAGTTGCTCCAACTGACGAAGAACAGCGTTCATTTTAACAAACTTTTCGACTATGTCAAACGAAATCCTCTCTGAGACTAGAAAACCGCTTGCTCGGGAAAATGATTTGAAAATCGGCGAACTACTCGGTTGAGCCAACTAAATATTTACCTCGCGCCACTCAGAAATGAAGCCGACACAACGCGTGTTGTTGTGACTTTGGCAGTGATTGTGGCCAGGTTGGGGCCGTAGTGAGCCTCGAGTGTGGCGCTGGCCCTCAATCTGCCGCAATCACCGCCGATAGGAGCAGGCACTGACGCGTTGACAATTACCCCCGTTCCTGTTAGTGCTCGAGAGATTACGGTCCTCGCCGCGGTTCTCGCGGTGGAAACGGCGGTGCCAGGAAGGCATCGATAACTGCGCGAGTTTCGGCGGACCGCCCCCTAGGCCGCTCCCCCCTCCTGCTTTCTTCAGCCGTCCCTGGCCGGCCCGGTCGAGACGCGTAACTTTGACCCAGCGACCCGAGCGGGGCGTGCGTGAACCCTGGCAGCGCCGCGCCGCGCCGCGCCGCCCGACCCCGCGCCGCCCGACCCCGCGCCGCCCGACCCGCGCCCCGCGCCGCGCCGCCCGCCACGCTGCAGCTGCGACCTTGGCCAGGCGACCGAGGGGCGTGGCGATACACGCCGACTCGAGCGCCGCCATCCCGCGGTTCTTGCATCGCACGCCGTGGAAAGACTCGGAGCAGAGTCGCGGGTGCGGCGGGCATGGCCCCACGGACGACGACGAGGACAACGACGGCCACGCAGGGGAAAATTAGTTGAGGATTGGATAGCAAACAAGTCTGTTATCGGCTGCCCGCCTCCGTATTTGTTTACTCGGGCTGGTGCTGGTGAGTCTCCCAGCCCGAAATACAAAGCTCAGTCACTGTCCTTCGGCGATTTCTGCCGACGTGGTGTGGCTGAAACGACTGAAAACGGGTGCGGGTCTTCACACCTAGGAGAGGTCCCTTTATCCGCCACGGCGGACAAACACTCAAACCCCGCTTGCAAACTCACTGGCCCTTATCACGGCGGGGCGCTGCGGCGGTGCGGCGCTACTGCGAGCGCTCCGCGACACTTGGCCGGTCGACCGGGCCTTGGCCGGGCGCGTGTGCCTCTGGCGGCGGTCGCCGCGGTGGTCGCGGTGCTGATGAGGTCCGCCGCGGTGGGGCCTGGCCGAGGGCCTGGCGGTGGTGACGTGGTGCACCTGCGCCAAGGCGCGCCAAGGCGGCCGAGACCCACCGCCTTATCGGGCGTCACGTCGTCTCACGGGAAGCATACAGTACCGGCGGTACCGGCCCGGTTCCGCACACGTCGCCCTGTCTCTCTCGTGGGGCGCCCCCGGCGTGCGAGAGAGGCAGTGCGACGGCAGCGCTGAGCGGGATCGGCCTGCAGGTGCCCTTTCTTCGACGAGACAGGCAGGGAGGCGACCCCCGGCCCCGCGCCATGTCCGTGCAGTGCAGCGGCCCGACGGGGACGCGTCCAAACTAGTGCATCGGGCCCGATCGGGCCACCGTGCCCTGGCCGGCGAACCAGATCAAACTGACCCACACCCGCGGCCGCGCAGTCCCCGCAGTCCACGCGCACGCCCGCCTCGCGGTCCTTGGCCGTGGCCGGGCCGCGGCCGTCGGCAAGCAGCAAGGGGGTCACGGCGTGCCGCGTGCAGCCTGCAGCACGCTGGCTGGAGTCGAGTCAGCAGTCCCCGTGGAATGGGCCGTGTTTTCGCAGGTTTGCGGAAAGCAGCGCTGAGTCGTCGCGGCGCCCGGCCGGCACGGCGCACCGCCGGCGGCGCCACCGAGTACGAAGCGCCGCGCCACGCCACGCCGCCTGGACGTTGCTCCCGAGAGCCCGGGCCACTGGGGCGGGCGGGGCAGGGGAGGGAAGGCGGCAGGGAAATGAAGTAATTGTGAAAGCTGCGATTGCTGTGTGGATGTATTTTTCGGCGACACCCCGTTGCCGCTGCCGCCGGCCGTCGCGCTCCTTTTGTTGGTACGGAGGCCGGGCCGGGCCGGGCGGCCTGGCCGCGGCGGGGTTCTGGTCAGACTGGTTCTTGACGCGCCTCGCCTCGCCTTCCGAATCAAGACGGGCCAAGCGGGCCCGGGGGCCCGAGGCCCCGAACCAAAATGCTCCTTCAAAGAGGGCCAACGGGACCGAGCCGTAAACATTGCCGTATAATGTCCGCCTTTTTGGCCCCGGCCCTTTCCTTATCGCAGAGGTAGAAATGAAAAGTGATCGAGTTCGAAAGACGCTCGAAGGGAATTGCGAAAAAGTGGCGCGACATCGTCGGCGAGGGTGTGGCAGGCCTCTTTGCGGCGGGGGAGTATGGCAGGGCAGCGCCAGGGTGACGAGTGGCACTTTGGAGGCTCTCCAAGGCGACTGCTGCAGCAGCATACAAAGTCTCGGGGTCGAGGGGCAGCCGAACTGGACGCGTGAAACGCGGTCCGCTGTGGCGACGCCCGCCCCCAGTCCGCGCCGCCGCGCCGCTGCAGCAGTGCCGCATAATCAGGTTGGTATCGCGTTATTCAATCATAGGGCGGCGGTCTGGCTCCGAACAGCGTTTCGCCCTGTCTCTCTCGCACGCGCGGGGCGGGGCGTCGCGCAGGCCGTAGGTGGCGGAGCAGAGCAACTGTTCGGAGTGAGCCTGCAGCGCGCGTACGCATGGCCGATGGCCGCGCGTATCCAAGTTCCATCGACGCCCGGACTGGATCGCGGGCCAATATCGAAGCGAGTCATCGCGGCACGCACCTCACCTACTGCGCAGCGGCCGAAGCGGCTCAGCACGGGGCGCAGGATCGTCTCGTCGCTGTCTCTCTCGCTCCCGTTCGCGGCAAGGAACAGACAGAGAGAACAACGAAACGACCCTTCGGAAGCCACCTGACGTCCCTGCGCCCAGGCCGCCCAGGCCCAGCCTCAGGTCCACGCTTCTAGGACCCTACGGCCGCGGAGAGCTTTTATCCCGAGTTTCTGCAAAGAGCAGCAGGCTCACCTTTCGGGCGGGGCGCCGCGGGGCGGCCGGGCCGGCCCGCTTGGCGCTTGGCTGAGGAATTAGGCCACCCTTGTACTTGTTAGACTGTTAGGGGGAGTCGTTGGAGCGAGACGCGGCAGAGACTGCAGGGGCCCGGCCGGCCCGGCCGGCACGGGCTGGGTGGGGGCCGGCACCAAACAGTTACAAGACTGTTTTTACCTGACTCCGCCTGGCTTCGCCTGGCTTGTCCGGACAGCATAAAGCCAGCGACGCCACTCGTCAAAAAAGGGGCAGCCCGGCAGCCTCCGCTCAAGCGCGCCTCGCGAGAATCAATCAATTGATGGATCGTATCGCCCCCATCGCGACATGGTCTTTAGGAACAGGTCCGCCGGACTCAGTCGACTCCGGCTGTAGCGGCTATGGCGAGTCGGATAGGTCAATCACGCTGCCAGCCCCTCCCTGGGCACACACTCACACACACACTCACACATACACAGACGCGCGCCCGCCACAAATTGACTCGAAGTTTGGAAGTTGGTAAATTCCGCGTTGTGGCTCTCTACTCTGTTGACGGTTGAATGCCGCACATTAATACACGCTCCAGTCAGCGACTCCAGACAGACGGACAGACAGGCAGACAGACCGCACTAGGAGAGCATGGCGAGCAGACTGGCAAAGAAGGTGGCAAGCCACGCCACGCCGCGCTGCGCTGCGCCACGGCAAGTGATCCAGTCCGGTCCGACCCAAACCGGTCCGGGCAAAGCCACGCCGAAAATTTCACAGGGAACAAAACACTCCTCGCGGGGACGGCGGCGCGTCGATTCGGGTAACGGCAGTTCCCCCTGCCGTGCCGTGCCGCGCCGCGCCTTGCCTCGCTCGCGTACAGTGTTCTGCATGTAAGCGTTACACGCGCTCGGCTCGCGGCTGCTGGACTTTCACTCCTTAGCGTCATTGGATATTTGAATCGCTGGAGCGCGGCGGCCGCGCGGCCGTGGCGGCTCGCTCGCCGTAAGCCAAAGCCGTGGCCAGGGCCCCGGCCAGCCAAAGCCCCGGCCCCCTCAAAGGCAGAATAGACGAATGGACGAATCTGGCGACCAATCAGCGGCTCGATTCACGTGACGACCGCCGACCAATCAGAAGCCTGCCTTTCGAATTTGGCGCCAAAAGGGGCCGTCCAGCGGCCTGGCAGCGACCTGGACTGGACCGTTCGATCGGACCGGCCGCGGTGGGCCCACGGGCCTTACCGCCGCAGCGCGCCGCAGCGAGAAATGAGAAATACATACTGGCGTTTCGAAACACGTTTGCTATCCGCTCCGGCCAGCAGTCTACCTTTCAGATCGCCTTGGCGCAACCCGTCCTCATGACGTCACAGACACGCTCACACACACGCACGCACGCGCGCGCGCACGCACGCCTGCCCCAGTCGGATGTACGCAAGCGGTGCGGCGCGTCCGGGAGAGGAAAGGGGGAGGGGAGGGAATTCTTGCTGGTGGTGAAACGACATAGTAGTACTCAGTATGACTCATGTTGTCGCCGGGGCTCTAGGGCCGGCGTGTCGGCCGGCGT